GCTGAACTCAACATGGCCTGCCTCAGTTATTAAGCAAAAAGAATTTCCTCTCCAGTTAAATACTGTAGGATTTGCATAAACTATATTAAGAGAGATTTCTATATTAAGCAGACCTGCCCTCGAACCATCCGAGGCAAATGAACTTTTAGCAGGGAGCTTTTGGAGGCAGAAACAGATCTCTAGGAGTTACGTGCTGGGTTTTAACAGAGCCGTTCTACAGCACCGTGTTTCCCACGTTGTGCTACTAAAACTACTGCTGAAGCAGTAATAAGGTAAACTGCTCCCTACCCGATTCGAACTGTAGTGTTGAAAAATCACAGAAATGGACAAGAAACAAAAGCCTGTTTCTTACAGTAATTTTCAGAGTGCTTGCCGAAATGGAACTTTCTCAAAGATCAGCATTAACAGCGTTTTTCTGCCTTTAGAACAAAAATCATAACCGAGCCTTTGGCATTCTGTATCCATCCCCAGTCTGCTCAGCTTTCCATTCTCAACCCGTAGCATTTGCAATAAAAAGCAAAGCACAGGACGGGAGGTCTTTTTGCTTAGATTTAATTCTAGAAAACCCCTTCCTTTGACTCTCTCTCTAACCTGTGGTGTGTTTGCAGGTGTGTGTGTGTTTGTGTCTGTGTGTATTTGTGGCAGGAGAACACAGGATCTAGCCATCGGAGTGCAATAGATACGGGAGGGGAGCAGCGCCCGGTGCAGATTAAGGGAGTTCTCGTTACTGAAACGATAACTTCCATCTGACACAATAAGAGTGTCACTCTTTCTCACCTTGCGGAGAGAGCTGCCTGTTTCTGATCGTGACATAAAATACTTGCCTGAAGTCTGGGCGTTCTCGGAACACTGAGCTCCTTGCTGCATGTGCTGTAGATGTCACTGCTGTCTGATTGTGCTTGAATTAACACACTGTTTTGACTTCTGAAAATGCCTAAAGGACAATGCAAAAAGCTTTTGTGAATTTGTTTTTAAAGAAAGAAATCCGGTTTCTTCGTGTTTCCATTTAGAAGGCAGAGAGTGTGTGAACTGTGGAGCAACTGCCACCCCTCTCTGGAGAAGAGACGGCACCGGGCATTACCTGTGTAACGCCTGCGGGCTCTACCACAAAATGAATGGTCAAAACCGACCTCTCATTAAACCTAAACGAAGGCTGGTAGGTGTCTCTGTTTCTCCTGGGTTTGGGGATAAATTAGGCAAAAGGACCACACGCAGGCACAGAGTCAAACGTGCCTCAGCCCCTGCGCGGAGCCGAGCTGTACTGTACACGGGGGTCAGTCACGTCGAGGTCACTACCGTGCCTCGGGGCAGATCTCGCCCCCTCCGCCCCAGCCCCCCTCCCCGGCACAGACCCCTGCGTCGCCACAGCCCGCCGAGCGCCTCTGTCCCGAGCCCCCCTGCCGCTCGCAATACATGCGGGATATCGTGTATCCGTCTCCCCGTTTATCCTCGGATGACAGCTTTTAATTTAATTCCTCATTTATTTGGCCTCTCGGGACGGTTGGGGCGCATACTGGGAGTGAAAGGGTTATGAGCGCAAATATCCTCCACCGTGTACTAAAAAAAAAGTTCCAGCTCCAAAAGCAAAACAAATCAGATGAGTCAAAGCTACTGCTCCCTACTTAATAATTATTTGTATAAAAGCCATGAAGTAATTTTCACTCTTATATTCTCTGGCAATATTAATATTGGGTCCCTCCCCAGACAATCCCCTACTGTTTTTTAAAAAAAATCCTATTATTTTTCCATGGAGTCACCTATACTTTGTATTTTCATGTGAGTGATTTAAAAAAAATGTCCTTTCTGAGCTCCTGGTAGTAGTTTCCTATCCGGATATCTGTACGTTAAAGATAAGGAAACTTTGTGTATCTGTTTCCTGACTCTAAAAGCTTTAGAGAGTTTCTATAGGCAAGCCTTGCCAGTCAGGCTTGCTGTTTTGAAATTTCTAATACACTCTACTCCACAAATAATGCGTAAAATGCTAAGAATAATAAATATATTTTTTGGTAGCTTTGTGATTTATGGTGCCTAAGTCTCTCAGCTATTCGCGGGCACGTTTCAATGAGGTTTGGAGACCAGAAAATTGGCATTACTGCTCTAACACTGGGATGGGATACAGAAGATTTCTGTCGCGAGTCAGAATTTCAGCTATGCAAGCTTCCTAATGACTTGCCTTCTAAAGTGACTGACATATAGAAAAATGTTAAGACAACAGTGTAACATTATCGTCGCTCAGGCTCAAGTGCTTTCCAGGCTGAATGGGACAGGACGCGGAGTTAAGCAGCATAGCTGACTATCAGTAAGCCATCTCAAATATGCAAACATGGGTCTCCACCTTCCAGTGTGTTGGGAGACTTGTTATACTTAGCTCACTGTGAGGGGTTTGGAGGGCACTAGAGAGGTTTTCTTTTACTTTAGTTGTTTTAATGTTTGGTTTTAATTGATTTACAACTTTGTTTATTGCCCCTTTTTCCACTGTAGTTTGCTTGTTGGCGGGGGAGAGGAGATGGCCATCTTTGGGAATTTGTTCATCTGACATGCAACAGCAAAGCAATCGTATTAATAATGTCAGTGTTTGGAGGTCTGGCATTAATTGTGTTTGGGTTGCATGAGTGTACTTGCAGTAGGGGGTACCCCCTCTTTCTGCCTTTGGCCTGTTCTCACGGGCGAGCGAGGGACTGAAATAAATGAGTCTCTGAGGGCCTGATTCTTGCCTTAAGCTGCCGAGCCGTCCATCAGCTTTGGGAAAGTTAGAGAGCCATGGCGTAAATCAGGAGCAAGTGAGAACAGAACCCGTTGCTCCTCTTTTTGCGAGGCGGGTCAGTCTGCTCCGAGCGGCGCCAGCTCCCCAGCACAGCCGGCAGACAGGGCAGTGCACAAAGTTCTCGTCCGGGAAACCCACCGCTCTGGGACTCTACTCGCGGAGATGGCCTGCACGTTAACGTGAGCTTCGCTGCTGCTTCACCCCATGGCTCTCGGTGGCTAGTTGCAAAAACTATTGGGGAGCAGGGCCCCGGGGAAATTACCATCGCTGATACGCATTAGAAAGTAAACTGTTATTTTAAAAGAAAATACTGAGTCCTCAGGATTAATCCAATTGCACAAAATGGGCTGTATTTTGACCACTTCCAGAGACAGGGCTGAAACTTTCTAATGCAGGATTATTTCCCAAAATATGGGGTGCGGTTAGTCTGTCCGTAACACTTTATATCATACCAGGCTTGCACAAAGAATGTATTATTGTAGGGTCTGCTAGATCAGGGCCCATCCAGAAATTATTGGCTGCCTGCTGTTCTACCTTTCCTGTTCTTGTTTTGGGAGGTGGGTGAATGTTTAGGTATTTTTTTTTTCCCCCACCTTGGTTTCAGCAGAACAGTAGTTTTAGAAAAGGTGTGGGTTTTTTTCTCCCCTCTTTTTTTTTTTTTTAAAAAAAAACCAGACTTTTTAAAAAAAAAAAAAAAGACTGTTTGAGGGCTTCTCAGCTAAGGACCTAAGTAGGGAGAGGCAGACTGGTCAGCAGAACCATTGCTGAATGACACAAAATTTGGTTGGCTAAATATTTAAAGAAAGTTGGAGCCAGTTTTGTTTCTTCCCTTTCGCTTGTAAATGGAAACTGATTTTTCAGCGATTTCTCCGATAAATACTGCACCCAGATAAGTAATGCGGTTGTTTTCCTTTTGTGTTCATCTCTAAAGGGCCAGAGTAGGGGTAAAACCCACGTTCTTTAAGATCATTCCCTCTTTTCAAACCCTGTCCCAATATTGGCACAAAGTAAATTGGTCATTAAAAGAAAAAAATAACCATGAAGCATTCTAGAATCCTGCAAAGGGAAAACCTGAACAAATCAGATGTTTCCCCCTCTAAAATTTTTGTTTGTGGAGTTAGAGGTGCATTATTTCTCTCCTTACATCCCCTGCCCACATGGCCGCACAGGAGAATACTTGAATTTAAACAAAAACTTAACGGCCACAAAATGTAAAACCGAGAGGAGCTTTCCTGCAGCCCTGATGCTCTGTAAAATCTTAGTAACTAGTTCTGCCCAACCTAAATGCTGACTCCAACTTGACCTTTCTCATGATCTCCCTCCTCCTGCCTATACGTTTTTAATTTTCCTTTTCTTTTGGTTAGTCAGCGGCTAGGAGAGCAGGGACTTGTTGTGCCAACTGTCAGACAACCACCACGACCTTATGGCGACGTAACGCAAACGGGGACCCAGTTTGTAATGCCTGCGGACTCTACTATAAATTGCACAATGTGAGTATTTACTCATCTCATGTGTCGCTGCTTGCCTAGCTGGGATTGATGTCTTAACTGCATGGTGTACACTAGGCTTTTATTGGTTTTCAGGGTTTGGGTTGTTGTTTTATTCCTTCCCCAGTCTCTAAGGTTCCCCTGGGATGTGACAGCCGTTCTTTGTCAGCATAGTGATGCTAAGTTCAGTGACATTACAATGTATTAGCTTGGCTTCTAACGCTTGGGCAAACCAGGCAAAATAGAGCTATCACACTTGGTTTTAACTAAGTGTTTTGTGTGCTGTTTCCATCCAGAAACAGACCATTTGGAATGGGCTGTGCAAAAACTAATCCCGGTGGGCATCTTAATTTTCATGTTGTTTAAAAATAAATATATCCAAGGTTGTTCTTTTTTTTTTTTTTTTTACAAAAAGAAATTAATCCCAAACAGGGGTGACTTGACATGTTGGAACGTTATTTAAACCGTAAGTAACAGAGGTTACTGGGACAAGATTGCTCATGTCTTAGGACTGAATTTGGGTCAATGTGTGCCTCCTAGTTTGATCCTTTCTATTAGGAAATGAATGAGGACTGGGGGTAAGCCTACGGGAAAGAGAGTCATCAGCTGCCAAATTCAGTTCAATTTGTTTTTTATGTCCAGGGTTTTTGTGTGTGTGTGGTTTTATTAAACAAATCAATATAAACAAGTTCTGCAGAGAGAAACACCATTTTTTTTGGCCAGGAAAAGGTCTCCATCCAGGAAAAACACATGGGGGGCTGTCCAAATATTTTCATTTTTGCACAATAAAGTCTTTTTTTTTTCTGCATGAGCCTGATTTTCTCATTTCTTGCAGGTGAACAGGCCTCTGACCATGAAAAAGGAAGGAATCCAGACCAGGAATAGGAAAATGTCCAACAAATCAAAGAAAAGCAAGAAAGGCTCAGAGTGTTTTGAGGAACTGTCCAAGTGCATGCAGGAGAAATCGTCTCCCTTCAGCGCTGCTGCCCTTGCTAGTCACATGGCGCCCATGGGGCATTTGCCACCTTTCAGCCACTCTGGACACATCCTACCAACACCTACCCCCATCCACCCATCTTCCAGCATCTCATTTGGACATCCGCATCCATCCAGCATGGTTACGGCCATGGGATAAAACCTGAAGACCAAGACACCCATACAGAGATTAAGAACATGGGGCTTTGCCTAAGACGACACCAAGTAAGAAAATGTTCTGCCAAGAGGAGAATGTAGGGATGGCAAAAGGGGATCTTTACTCCCCTTTATGTGGTTTAACCCTTAATGCTGGACTAAAACCTTGCAAATGATGGGTCTTCTGCAGAAACGTGTAGTGGTGCCTGTAATGCACTTTGCCCCCTCAGGTATAAGGAAAAAGAACT